TATATATATATATATATATTATATAACATAAATCTTTTAAAAATAAAATAAAAGCTGGGTGTGTGGTGCATGCCTTTAATCCCTGCACTCAGAGGGCAGAGGCAGGTGGATATCTGCAAGTTTGAGGCCAGCCTGGTATACACAGCAAGTTCCAGGTCGGCAGGGGCTAACATAGCGAGATGTCTCAAAAAACCAAAATAATAAATAGACAGACAGACAGACAGACAGACAGACAGATAGATACTGGGAGGAGAATGGACTAAGGAAGGCTGCAGATTGGCTATGATTGTGTAGAACTCTTACTGATTTAGCTCTGGCTGCTACTTAGAAATTCTTACCAAAAAACCCAAAAAAAGGGGCTGGAGAGATGGCTCAGTAGTAAGAGCACTGACTGCTCTTGCAGAGGACCTGGGTTTGATTCCTAGCACCCACATGGTGGCTACGAACCGTCCTTAATTCCAGTTCCAAAAAATAATAAAATATATTAAAAAAAAAAAACCAATAAAGTTTGTGGAGGACTTCAACTTGAAAGCTATCCTTTCTGATGTGGCATACCCTAATTGCATATTAGCACTGTCATTTCAGCCTCAGAAGCTACTGCTGAAAGATGAGCAAGGCTGATTATACTACACAGAGCTGTCAAAATAAACAGTACCCATATGAGAACAAACAAGAGGGAGGCCGTAATCTCTACCTTTATTTCAAGTCAGTATAATTCTATATTCTTTTATTTATGTTTGTATGTATACATGAGGCATAAGGAGTTACTCAGGACCTTGCACATGCGAGGTAAAAGTTCTCTCACTGAGCTACAGGCCTAGCCCAAGCCTGTATTCATTCTTAAGCTCAACCAGCAATGCTCAGGAATTCGCATTGGCAGGTGCCTACTAAAGACTGCTTGAAAATCATCAGTTTTGAAAGCAGCCAGGAAAAAATGGTATGAAACTAGATGGCAAACAGACTTACAGGAGTGCTTCTCAATAAAATGAATGGTTCACACAAGTAAAACTTTGTCATCTAAAGAACACTGCAGAATGCTCAGCTCTACATGGGACATCTATATCACAGCCCTCCCCTGAGCTCAGAGACAGTCATGGAAGAGGGGTGAAAGACTAGAGGAGATGACTGCAAGTCACACTTTTATGGACACACTGTTTTACAAGGCAGTTGCACATATGAACACACAGCAGTTGTCACGGCATGTACAAGACCTGCTCGAGCTCAAGCTAGACAAAATCCCAGTATGGAGAGGGGAAGGTAGGCACAATGCCCTACCCCTAGCTGAGGAGCAATTGGCAGTTGATAGCTGTTAGGAGAGGGAGAGTAATTTTTCTTTAAGAGTGTGACCCCACACCCAAGAATATACGGGAAGCATAAATTAAACATGGGTTTAAAAAAATACCAGGACAAAAAGTTGGGTGGGGTGGATCTGAGAGGAATTGAGGAAAATGAATATGATCAAAATACATGGTATGAAATTCTCAAAAAGAATTAATAATAATGAAAAAAAGAATTGTAGAAACCTTAAGGCAGATTCCTTTTGTGGTGCCCTACATTATCCAATGTGCAGAAATCTAGCCACATGGCCACAAGACATCCAATTAATTAATTGTTTTCTTACCTCAGAGTAGAGCTCCTAACAGTATATCAGTCTTAGGCACCTAATCAAGGTGCCAGGGGTGGTCATAATCTCAACTATTTGCTCACGTTATGAAATTATGTGCTTCATACAAAGTCCTTTTCCTGGTCCCAAGCAATTTATAGACCTACAAAGGGACACAAACAGCTAGGCATCTCTCAAACAGTGCTGTGCACCAAGACTGGCTACAGACCTGAGGTCAGAACTGCTCTCAAATACCTGTAAGTCTAGTGGATGCCACACACTAGCCTCCTAACTGAGGGAAATGGAGGGGCCTCAAGCCTCAGTTGTCAGGTCACCCAGCTCCTTCTCTGAGCTTCTTACACTGCAGAAGGCCAGCCCTCTCGGAAGCTCTCTTCGAGCAGTGGAAGGTTGTGGGGGATGCTTACCTGTGGCTTCAATGTACTCAATGCATCTTTCAATAAAAATGGGGATTGGCTTCTCTGGAGTCACCACAGTTGTTAGGGGCACCCCAAAATAGTTGCTCTCCCAGGTTGCCTTTGTGATGGATGGCCGGGGTTTGGGCTTTGGTTTCTGTCCAGGGAAGAGAAAAGCAAGCACAAAAACAAAGTAAGTATCACAGGTATCTGGAAGGGTTCCAAAGAGAAACTCACAGTAGACTGGAAACTGCTGGAAAGACTTCAAGCAAGACAAACAGACCTTGGCTCATCTCACTAATTTAGCATTTTCTGACCTCTGAATATAAGACACTGGAAAGTTGTCACATCATCACACCTTGAGTGTGAGAGTGCATTATTAGAACAAAGATGTTTATAAGAACCAGGCCAAGTTTACTTAATAAAATAACATAATGGCTCTCCATATCCTTCATTAGGGACGCACTGAGTAAACAGGAAGTTTCCCAAATATTCTACGTGGATAATAAATGGTATATACTCAGAGATGGTTGACATCTTTAAAAGATCAAACATGGATGGAAAACTAGTAATTTATTCTTTCCAGAAAAGATATATAGCATGTATTCTGTCAAGAGTTGACAGCCCTAAACTAAAATTCCCTTTGATACATTTAGCCTGGGGGGGTGCTAATTCCTGGTGTTTTCCACTTTAAGAAAGGGTAAAGCCAACTAATCAAACAAAACAAGTAACAAGAGCAAGACCCATGCCTGTAATCACAGGCCTGGGAGGCTGAAGCAGGAGGATCAGGAGTTCCAGGACAGCCTGGGATACACAGTGAGATCCTGGCTCAAAACCAAAAACAAACCAAAAACAACAAAACCTCAAAACAATGTAATTATGTCTGTTTTTCCCTCAGAGTCAGCAACAGCAACTGAGAACTCACTATGTACTAAGTAAGTCCCACATGTATGTCCCTTTCTATTTCACAATATTCCATTTTTCTAAGGAAAAGAATTCTCACAGGCCTAAATGACATGAGTAAATGACAGTGCTTGGTCTTAAATCCAAGAACATCTGTCTCCAAAGTTCATACTGTTTAACCCTATAATAGTGAATTATTATGATTCAAAATTAAACTATTTTAAAAAATATTTTAATATTTTTATTTTTTATGAGTATGAGTGTATTGCCTGCATGTATGTGAGTGCACCCATGTCGTGCAATGCCTCGGAGGTCAGAGGAGGGCTTTGGATTTCCCTGGTTGGTAGCCACCATATAGGTGCTGGGAATCGAACTCGGTTCCTCTACAAGAGCAGTCAGTGCTCTTAACTGCTGAGCCATCTCTCCGGCCCTCAAACTATTTTTTATAAAGCACCTTATTTTGAAGTTCACGTGGGGAAAAACTTGTTTTATGCCAATGGAATGTTGACCTTCTGTTAAAGTATCTACTACAAAGATGAGGGGAAGAAAATAGGCTCCAGGTAAATTAGAGCGGGTGTGTCTCTAGCAATCTGGCTTCATTTCCAACTTGTTCAGCCCAATGCAATATGCGGGCGGCAGGACTTACTTAACAGCATGCAAAGACTATAAACCTATTTGGGATCTTTCCATAAAATCCACGAAGGGGCCAACCAACTGTCGGGTCATAGGTCAGCCTTTCCTTTCTGCCCAGCTTCATTCTTTCTACTCTTTATAAGGGAACAAGTCACTTCCTGTTTAGTCTGTGATTCTTTGAGAAGTTCCTGCACAAACAAATGGGGGGCTGGAAAGGAGGGACAAATTAAAAAGTACACTGGGCTGCAAGTTGCTAATATCTCAGAAAACAACCCTAAGGCAAAGAAAGAGAACTGTCAGTCTGCTAAGTAACTGTAGAGGATGTGGGGTCCCAGAAGATCCACATACCCCAAAAGGCTTAGCCCTGCCCACTGGGATGTGCCCACTCTTGAACAAATGTATGCTACAGTCCTTGAGGTAAGCAGGCTCTGTCTGACTTTACAGAAGAGCAAATTGGTGACTTATGATCTATCTTTACAAGAAAGAATTCAACCAATCTAGACTGCATCTATGTGTATAAAGTTGAGCAAATTTAAGCTTTGCTGCCAGGCAATATGTATCTATGGGTGTAATAATAGTGGCATAACTGCTATGGGGTAACCAACTGGTTTCTGATTGGGTATGAGGCCTGCTCTACAGGAAGGAATTCATGTCTGGTACTGTAGACCTGGTCAAAGACCCGTGGCTAGGGTAAAGGTCACAGCAGGGAGGGGTGAGGACCCACTGCTGTTGTTTTGCTAAACAGATATGTTATCAAATTGCCTTCTAAATATTTTATACCCTTACATTAGTACTTCTCTCAACTTTTGGCAGAGAAGTTTCTTTTGGCAGTGGATAGCAATGTATTGCCTCATAACTGCTTAAAATGCTGAGACTAAGTGACAATTGAGAGCTCAGTCCTCAATGGAACATCTAGCATTCCCTGCAAGGGTGAGAAGACACTGGAAGAGGGAACAGAAAGAATGTAAAAGCCAAAGCATGAGGGAGAGGGCTGTGAAATGCTGTCACATAAAATGGCCACTGCATTCATGAACTAAGCAGTTCTGGTTACCTGCCTAAGACCTGCACAAGATTAGCCAATCAACAATCCCAGCAGGGAACTGGGGAGGGGCTCATGAGGCTACACACCTAGCTGAGGAACCATGGGCAACTGATGGGTACTAGGGGGAGGAGGAGTAATTTTTCTTTGTGGGTGTGGCTGATGTAGGTTCCCCAAGTCCATGTAGGCAGCACTACTAGGACTCGGGGCAGGGCATTGTTGAGGCAGTATGGGTGGTATGGGGGATGAGGAGGAATGAATATATAAAAATACAGTCTACATATGTATGAAATTGTCAAAAAATAAAATATATAAAATAAAATAAAGAATTTAAGCTTTGCAGGGTTGGAGATGGAGCTAAATTGACAGAGTACTTGCCTAGCATGCATGTAACTCTGGGTTGATTCTACTACATGAAACTGGGAATGGTAGTGCAAACTTATAATTACAGCGCTTGGGCCAGGTGGAGACAAAAGGATCAGAAGTTCAAGGTCATCCTTGACTAGAAAAAAAAAGAATTTAAGCTTTGCAATCTGATGTGGCTCAGAATCCAGACTGACAAATTCTGTGACTTGGGTCAAGTACTGTACCATCTTTACCTCCATGACAGTACTCTGGTCAAAAGGCTGAGGTCAGGGAGGGCTGGAGAGATGGCTCAGCAGTTAAGAGCACTGGCTGCTTTTCCAGAGGACCTGGGTTTGATTCCCAGGATCCACATGGCAGCTAACAACTGTCCTTAACTCCAGTTCCAGGGAACCAACACCCTCTTCTGAACTCTGTGAGCACTGCATGACATGGGTACACTTACATACATGCTGGCAATACATTCGTACACATAAAATAAAAAAATAATAAAATAAAAAATTTTAAAAAGGTGGTCAGGTGGTTAAATTTAATGTGACATACAGAAGTGCCTCAGTGTCATGAACATGGCAGCCATCTAATAATGTGAACTCCTGTATGTGAAGAAAAACGGGAGGGAAGCCCTTTAGTTGCTCCACTTTGTTGCCACCGGAAAGCAATGAGTCAAGCAATACTCTCCTTGTAAACTTTCCTACCATTTAAAAGGTTAGCTCTGAAATGGGAATTAATAACCAAAGACAATCTGTATTTAAACAACGATCTTCCACCAATTCTGCCAAATTTTCCTGTCAAAATGAATACAAAAGCATTGTTCTTCAGTAAAACTGAGGCTTCTAAATGAACTGTTACTAAGAGGAAAAGTGGGATTGAAAGGCAGGCAGTGATCCTGACTCTCTCAGACAGTCACCAGGATGCCTTCTCCTCCCAGTTCTCACAGGCAGACAAACTGAAACAGCACATTTATCAGAATGATGCAGGTATGTGTTATCAAATTTTTGACAAGAGGGGCTGGAGAGATGGCCCAGTGGTTAAGGGCCCTGGCTATTCTTGAAGAAGGCCCAGTTCAATTCCTAGCACCCATATGGTGGCTAACTCCAGTTCCAGGGGAATACAATGCCCTCTTCTGACCTCTGTGGGCATTGCATGACACAGGTGCACTTACACACATGCAGGCAATACACTCATACACACAAAAAAATAAAGCTGGGCGTGGTGGCGCATGCCTGTAGTCCCAGCACTTGGGAGGCAGAGGCAGGCAGATCTCTGTGAGTTCAAGGCCAGCCTGGTCTACATAGTGAGTTCCAGGACAGCTGGGGCTACAGGGAGACCCTGTCTCAAGATTTAAAAAAAAAAAAAAAAGGTTAAAAACTCATGAACCTAAAAATTTTATAGCCACTTTTGAAAGAGATGTTTCTTTGCTCTGGAAATTGTTATTGAGTATGTTAAAGCTGTAATGAAATGCTTCTAAAAAATAAAAGTAAAATAAGAAACTAAAAAAAATTTTTGGCTAGAAAGGTTTGCCCTTGTCACCTGAGTACTTTCTCTGCACCAGATCCAAGTTCTCGTTTTTTTCTCTCTCCTCTCTTTTGGCGATACCACAGATTGAACAGGCCTCATGCTACCACTAGGCCATGCCCCCCGAACATTCTGCCTCTACTCACTCTGAGCATGCATATTAAGAACTCTGGGTCCTACGTGGTGGTGCACATCTTTGTTCCCAGCACTTAGGAGGCAAAGGCAGGTGGATCTCTGTGAGTTCCAGGTCAGGGCTACTCAGTCAGCCCCTACCCCCCAAAAAAGGATTTAGGAGATGGCTCAATGGGGTAAAGGTGCCTACCACCAACCCTAGAGTCTTGAGTTCCATCTCTGGTAGGAGAGAACCAACTCCTGCAAGTTATCCTCGGAGCTCTACACGCACACCAAGGCACGCCTGTACCCACACACAGATACACACAGAAAATAAATAATGAACATTTAAAAAAGGAAAAAGAGCTCCAGAGCTGAATCCTAGGAAAAGCCAAGTGAAGTGGGTCTGTGTGACTGCAGAACCTGTGCTTATAAGCACTGTGATATATGTGAGCTTCTTGGGCTTGGGGAAGTCCTTGGGCTAGGCAGAATGAGTAAAGGATAACTGAATAAATAAATAAATAAATACTATCTAGAGAACTTCTAAAGGTAATGCAGAGCGGTTCACCCATAACTAATTAGGGAACTATTTA